CCCCCCCTTCTCCTTTTTGAGACAGTGTCTTAATATGTAGCCCTGGCTGGCCTGGAACTGGCTGTGTAGACCAGGCTGACCTTGAACTCTCAGAGATTGCCTGTCTGCCTCCCATCTGATGGCCTGACCCCTGGCTTTTTTCTTTTACAAATCATTGCATCAGCATGTCATTTATGTTGATAACAGGAGGTTTTGATGCTTTTTACATTTTGTGCCCCAGGTAAGTTCTCAGTAGACTTATCTTAAGGAGGAACATGGTTGAGAGAAAAGAATTTATTTCTGCAACAGAGTTGGGGTTCAAACAGAGGTCTAACCAGCTCCAGGGTTTAAAATATTTTACATATTATTTTTATTTTATGTGTATGAGTGTACTTCCTACATGTATGTAAGTGTACCTTCAGTGCAGGTGGAGGTCAGAAGAGGGCCTCAGAACTAGAGTTATGATGGTTGTTAGCGCTGTCATGTGGGAACCAGACCCTGGTCTTCTGTAACAGCAGCCAGTGCTCTTAAGCTGAGCCATCTCTTCAGCCCAGCTCCAGGGTTTAAATCCTTAACTCTCAGGTTGCCCTAGGGACTGGAGACTTGGTGGGTGTTGGCCAGAGGGACTGACATCTGTGGGTTCTGCTCCATCCTTTACCTCAGGAGGAGACCCCACTGTTCCTGGCTGCCCGTGAAGGCAGCTATGAGGCTGCGAAGCTGCTGCTGGATCATTTTGCCAACCGCGAGATCACAGATCACCTGGACAGGTTGCCTCGGGATGTGGCCCAGGAACGGCTACACCAGGACATTGTGCGGTTATTGGACCAGCCCAGTGGGCCACGCAGCCCACTTGGCTCTCATGGCTTGGGGCCCCTGCTCTGTCCACCAGGGGCCTTCCTACCTGGCCTCAAGGCGGTGCCATCAGGGGCCAAGAAGAGCAGAAGACCTCCAGGCAAGGCGGGTCTGGGGCCACAGGGGACCCGGGGTCGGGGCAAGAAGCTGACACTGGCCTGCCCAGGCCCCCTGGCCGACAGCTCTGTCACACTGTCACCGGTGGACTCGCTGGACTCCCCACGGCCCTTCGGTGGGCCCCCGTCTTCCCCTGGAGGCTTCCCCCTGGAAGGTTCCTATACCACCACGGCCACTGCAGTGCCCTTTGCACAGCTTGGAGCAGGCCGCCCTTTGGGACGCCAGCCTCCTGGAGGCTGTGTGCTCAGCCTGGGCCTGCTCAACCCTGTGGCTGTCCCCCTTGATTGGGCCCGGTTGCCTCCACCTGCTCCTCCAGGGCCCTCATTCCTGCTGCCCCTGGCTCGGGAACCCCAGCTGCTCAACCCAGGGACTCCCGTTTCTCCCCAGGAGCGGCCCCCACCCTACCTGGCTGCCCAGGGACATGGGGAGGAATGCCCTGTAGTGGGGACTCAGGGCAGCCCCACTAAGGCCCGCTTCCTGCGGGTTCCCAGCGAGCATCCCTATTTGACTCCATCCCCTGAGTCCTCAGAGCACTGGGCCAGCCCATCCCCTCCTGCCCTCTCAGACTGGTCCGACTCTACGCCTAGCCCCGCAACTGCCACGGGTGCCACAGCTCCTGGGGCTCTGCCTGCTCAGGCACACCCGCTGTCTGTTCCTTCCCTTCCTCAGGCCCAGACCCAGCTGGGGCCTCAGCCAGAAATCACACCTAAGAGGCAGGTGTTGGCCTAAGTTCTTGGATCTTGGGGCCACTGAAGTGACACCCCTCTCTGGCTCCTCTCTCTCCCTTTTATTCTCATTTTCTCTCTCTACAGCCCCTCTGTACCTCTCTCTCTCTCCTAGTGTGACCAAGCTGGTCACCAACCCAGACTCCCAGTCTTCCTTTATTTATAATGGGTGGAGGCTGACCTCCTATCCTCTGGCCCTCTACCGGGTCTGGGACTCCTCTTGACCCCTCTCCCTGGCCCCATTCTGTTTTCCCACTTCCTTTTTTTTGCCTCCTTTGGCTTCTCATTTTCTCACACTCTGACACAAGTGAATTATTATTTTTCTTTTTTACATTTTGTATAGAGAAAAATTCATTTAAACAAACTTATTATTATTTTTTACTATATATATATGGAGATGCTCCCTTCCCCTGCAAATCCTCCAGTGCCCCCGTGGGGCTGAATCTGTGGGCCTATTCGGCCATGAGGGATTCTGTGTACCCAGTACACAGGCATGACCAGGATTCTGTGTACTGAGTACATGGCCCTGGTATGTACCAAGTAGCCAGCTTGGGCACAACCCTCCTGGGGTCAGGGGACACTTGGGAGCCTCCTTCCCCTTCCTTTGCCCCTTCCTTCACTTCACTGCATTCCAAAGACTTACAGGCTCACTGGGAAAGGGTCCTTCAGGCCCAAAAGCCCTCACCTCCAGGCATCCCACCCCCCCAGAGCCTGGCTCACCTTCTTTTGGGAACTGGGAGGCAGCTGATGGGAATGGGATCAGAGGAGATGTATGCATTCCACTATCTCTCTGAAAATGCAGGACTGAAGGTAGGGAGGTGCTTCCTGTATTCCCTGGTTCAGCCTCACAGCATAAATATTTTCAGATTATTTTTGTAACATGACATTTGACCACAGTCCCTGTGTATCTGAGTTCCCAGACCCTGCATTGCTACAGTCCTCCAGTTCCCATACCACCTAATAAAGGATAGTTGACACCCCATGTCTGTGCTTTTTGTTTCTGTGTAAGTGAGGTCTGAAGAGGTGGTTGGGACACTACTTCTTCAGGGTCAACTTGAATGCCCATCACGGGGGAAAGTCATGTGGTTTGCCTATCCACCCTTGCGTCTTCTTTTGCCAGGTATCCTAGTTTCATTTCTGTTGCTGTGATACGATACCAACTAAAAGCAACTTAGAGGAGAGAGGGTTTTTTTCTGCTTACAATTCCAAGTTACAGTCTGTCCTAGTTTCATTTCTGTTGCTGTGATAAGCACCATGCCCAAAAGCAACTTAGGGAGGAATGGGTTTATTTCACTTTACAGCTTATAGTCCATCTTTGAAGGAAGTAAGGTAGGAGCTTGAAGCAGAAGTAATGGAGGACTGCTCCTTGCTGGCTTGCTCAGCTACCTTCTGTATCTTAGACCCACCTGCCTAGGAATGGCACCATGCACAGTGGACTAGGTCCTCCTACATCAATCAGCAACCAAGAGAATGTTCCACAGACATGCCCACAGGCCATTCTGATGAGGAGATCAACTGAGATTGCCTCTTCCCAGGTGTGTCAAGTTAACAACCAAGACTGGCCGTCATAAGTCTATTGTAGAAAAGTCAAGGCAGGAATCTAAAACAACTAGTGACATCACGTCTACAGTGAATAGCAGGGTGAAGTGATGCATACATGCTTGTTTTTGTCCAGCTCCATTTCCCTTCTAACATACAGCTCAGGGATGCCCCTCACCCCCTCGAGGGAATAGTGCTGCCCACATAGGACTGGGTCTTTCACAACAATTTAAGTCAATCCTCGAGAAGCATACTCCCAGGCCAACCTGATGTAGAAAATTCCTCATTGAGGCTCGCTTCCCAGGTGATTGTCAAGTTGACAGAACACGAGGTGATTCCAGTGTTGGATCTTGGATGGTCACCTGCTTTAAGATGACCACATTCACATTTGAGAACTTTTTTCTTTAACAACTTTATTATATTTAACATTTTAAAAAATATTAGGTGTAGCCAGGAGTGGTGGCATACGCCTTTAATCCCAGCACTCAGGAGGCAGAGGCAGGTGGATCTTTGTGAGTTCAAGGCCAGCCTGGTCTACGTAGTGAGTAGACCCTGTCTCAAAAAGACAAAAAAAAAAAAAAAAAAAAGTGTATGAGTGTATTGCCTGCATGTATGTAAGTGCACCAGTGTTCTGCAATGCCTGCAGAGGTCAGAAGAGGGCATTGGACTCCCTTGGAACTGGAGTTACTGACCATTGTTACCACCATGTGGGTGCTGGGAATTGAACCTGGGTCTTCTGCAAAAGCAGCTAGTAGTACTTGATAGGTAAAAAGTTGGCAGAGAGCGAGCGAATGGAGGAGGAGGCACCAGGACACAGATAAAATTCCATCAAAATAGGGTTTATTAGCAAAGGAACACATGGGACAGATTCCCTTCTGGGCAGGGTCTTGAGCTGGGGTCTTTTAAAAGGGAGGCTTCTGCCTCCTGCAGAAGGCGGGAAGATGTAATTTTTTAAAGTTGGGGGCGGGGAGTGGGAGAGCAGGACTGTCCTCTTTAGAGATCAAAGGGGAAGCCTGCTGTGTTGGCCAAACAGTGGAGAAAAGTCTGCTTCTCTTGACTTCAAAGACCAAGGTGCTTATCAGCTTGGTTCCCTTTTCTCAGGAGCATGAGAAGTCCTTGGGATCGTGTTGGTGAGGGGGCAGGGCTATCTGAACCTTAACAGTACTCTTAACTGCTAAGCCATTTCTCCAGCCCCTAAAAACTTTTATTATTATTATTACTGGATGTGTATATGTGTGTGCGTGCGTGTGTGTGATATGTATGATGTGTGTGGTGTGTAATGTGTTTTTTGAGGTGTGTGATGTGTGTGGTGTATGGTGTGTGTATATGATGTGTGTACGTGTGCATGATGTGTGTGATGTGTATATGATATATGTGGTGTATGATGTATGTGTGATGTGTTTTTGATATATATGATGTGTGTAGTATACGATATGTGTAAGATGTATGTATGCATGTGCATGATGTGTGTATACATGATGTGTGTGTAATGTGTGTGTCTGATGTATGTGTGTATAGTGTGGAATGTATGGGGAGTATTGTAGGAATGACTTTTACAAAATGGATAGAATCTGAACTAATGACTTTTAATTAACCTGCAACCAAAAAGTTACTGAAAACAAGCTCACTGAGCCTTGTACTCTTGTGACTTGGGCACCTGACCTTGGTCTCTTGGAACCTCAATTTCCCCTCCACCACTAAGTGAAAATGGGCATGCTTGAGAATTAGTAAATCAAAGCACTGATTCCAGTGCATTCATATTTGTATCTTCATTGAAAACAATGAAGATTGTGAAGAATGCTTGACACCGTGTGTGAGATGTTTTAGGGTTAGGGATGAAAGAGCAAGTTTGTCAGATAAGAAAAAGGTAGATCCAAGCTGGTAGTTCCCAAATTGATGCTGGAGAAATAGTCAGCAGCACAGTTCCAGGAGACATCTGGAAGAATGGATGCCCTCTGAGTTCAGGCCCACTCATAACTAAGAGTCAAATTGTTTATTCAGGTATCACTGTAATGTTGGCATAGTTATAACCAGAGTGTATGTGTGGTATGTGATATGTGTATGTTTGATGTGTGTGAATGTGGTATATGATATGTGTATTTTTGATGTGTTTGTGATATGGCGTGTGATGTGTGTGTTTGATGTATAAATGTGTATATGGAGTGTGTAATGTGAGTTTGATGTGCATGTGTGTGATGTGTGTGTATGATGTATGTATGTCTGTGTAGGGTATGTGATGCATGTGTGTGTGAGTGAGGGTGGTCATGTGCTACACAGTGCATGTGGAAGTCAGAGGACAACTTTTGGGAGTTGGTTCTCTCCTTTTACAGTGGGTTCTGGGGTACAAACTTAGGTTGTTAGGCTTTGTGAGGCATGAGCTTTTACCTGCTAAGCCATCTTGCTATCTCACTGGCTTGAGAGGTTTTTTGTTTTGTTTTCTTTTGTTTTTGGTCTTTTGAACCAGGGTCTCCCTGTAGCCCCAGCTGGCCTGGAACTCACTGTGTAGACCAGGCTAAGCTGGTAGTTCCCAAATTGATGCTGGAGAAATAGTCAGCAGCACAGTTCCAGGAGACATCTGGAAGAATGGATGCCCTCTGAGTTCAGGCCCACTCATAACTAAGAGTCAAATTGTTTATTCAGGTATCACTGTAATGTTGGCATAGTTATAACCAGAGTGTATGTGTGGTATGTGATATGTGTATGTTTGATGTGTGTGAATGTGGTATATGATATGTGTATTTTTGATGTGTTTGTGATATGGCGTGTGATGTGTGTGTTTGATGTATAAATGTGTATATGGAGTGTGTAATGTGAGTTTGATGTGCATGTGTGTGATGTGTGTGTATGATGTATGTATGTCTGTGTAGGGTATGTGATGCATGTGTGTGTGAGTGAGGGTGGTCATGTGCTACACAGTGCATGTGGAAGTCAGAGGACAACTTTTGGGAGTTGGTTCTCTCCTTTTACAGTGGGTTCTGGGGTACAAACTTAGGTTGTTAGGCTTTGTGAGGCATGAGCTTTTACCTGCTAAGCCATCTTGCTATCTCACTGGCTTGAGAGGTTTTTTGTTTTGTTTTCTTTTGTTTTTGGTCTTTTGAACCAGGGTCTCCCTGTAGCCCCAGCTGGCCTGGAACTCACTGTGTAGACCAGGCTGGCCTCAAACTCAGAGATCTGCCTGCCTCTGCCTCCTGAGTGCTGGGATTAGAAGCATGCAACACCATGCCTGACTTAGTTTTCTTTCTCTTTTTTTTTAAGACACATGGCTTACATTGTTTTTTTTTGTTTTGTTTTGTTTTTTTATTTCTTACCTTAAGGTCCTGAATACATCCCATATATAAAAGTACATATCTATTTCAATTCTCATTAGCTTTTTCATATCAACTTGAAATTAGTCAAAGATAGACAAAGCATCTTTGACTAATATGGAACATGGTAATTGCCAGAGGACAATTACACAACAATTTATTTATTTTATGTGTATGAGTGTATTGCCTGCATGTATGTGAGTGCACCTGTGTCGTGCAATGTCATGGAGGTCAGAAGATGGTGTCGGATTCCCTGGAACTGGAGTTAAGGATGGTTCGTAGCCACCATGTGGGTGCTGAGAATCAAACCCGGGTCCTCTGCAAGAGCAGTCAGTGCTCTTAACTGCTGAGCCATTTCTCTAGCCCCCAGTTATACAACAAATTTTAAGGATTAATTTTCAATTACATACCAACTTACATTTTAAACTTTCATCTTACATAAACAGACCCAGGTTGCTACAGGGCTGGTTGCTGGGAGGAAGTTACTGGTTAGAGAAATAAGCTGAAACAGAATAATAATAAGGGTAGCTCTTTGCCCCGGAAATTCTTGGGTTCTTAGGAAGCAGAGATGATTGGATATGATGGAGAAAGGCTCCAGTTACTAAGAGATGTGTGGAGGTGATCAGTTTAATGACATACAATGTCATGGTGACCCCTCCCTGCCGTGGGTGTCAGGCTACAGAGTTTAGTTTGGTTGCTATTTGAACAGTTAGAATTTATTGAGAACCATTAGTTCTCAATGAAGACTTTATTTTTTAGTTCTAAGTTTTTTAAATTGAATTTTTGCAAGTTTCATACAGTATGTTTTGGTCTTATTTAGGTCCCCCTCCCTTATGTGCTAACCTCTTATAGCATCTCCCCACCATATTTCATGTACTCTGTCATATATGTTAAGGCCTATCAAGCCAAGTTTGTGTCCCTAATGTCCTTCAGCATGCATGTATCCACTGGAGCCTGGTTAACCTACCTAGTGTCACACCTCTAAAGAAAACCCATTCTACCTCTCCCAGCAGTTATACACTGCCAATAAAAGTTCTCAGGTAAGGTTGGGACTTCCTACCCACTTCCTCACTTCTGTGCTGGGATTTTGTCTGGCTTGGGCTTGCATGGGTCTTGGGTGTGCTGTCACTATTGCT